TAACCTTTAGACACGTTTGTTTATAACATTTGTTGGTATGCAGTTTTATAGTCCAAAAATTCTTATAACCCGGTATCTATAGCAACTTCAAACTTGCACTTTTTCCACTAAAATTTAGTCGACTATAAAACAGCATACCTAAAGTTATAATAATAATTCGTATTAAAAATTTAGAAGTTCTGGGCTCGAATCGTAACATCCTTTCACGGATCGAAAACGATACGAAGGGAAATTACGTGATACCGTCAGTCGCATAAGCTGAATGTGGTAAAGAGTACGTTCACGTATGTCATAATCCGAAAAATGTGTTTTTACGTGACGAGTTATACGATATCGTGTGTGACAATTCGAGCCCTGATTAAGCTGTGGTAAATGGAAATGGTATATGCCATTTTTAAATGGTGCTATGGCGTCCAGTATGCTTGTGTGATTTTGCTTTCTATTGGCATTTCGTCTCTGGTTGGACGTTTCCTCAGCTCCAAACCTCTACCCTTTACTACTGCTTAACTCCTGCATCCGACAGGTGGATTTTTGTGAAATGTTTCAACAGGTGGGGTGTTACAAACCCATTGAAAATAGTCTCATTTCATTAATGGCTTGTTTTTTTTTATTAAATTAATGACTTAAACAAGACATTTATGTATAAAACGAAATTTATTTCAATATAGTACAACAATTCAAAAGTTAAATATTTTTATTATAATTAGTATCAATTTATGTTTTTGTTTATTTTTGTTATTTATGGCCTTATAACAATTGTAGCACTCATTGCTTCGTCAATTCCCTGCTTGATATGTTTAAGTTCCGGTCGCTTATGCTAGGCACTAAAAGTAAAAAAAATACATCGATGTTCTTTTCCATTTGACGCATCGAAATATAGCATCGATTCATATCGATATATCGTAAAAAAACATCAATATTTTCGATGCATCCAATGAGAATATCAACGGTTTCTTCCAATTAAAAATATACAATAAGAAAATGAAACAATCGGAGCTTCGATAAATGTTTAAGTATTAACTTGCAGTGAAGTGATTTAAATATGTAGTTACAAATACCATTTTTTTTTGTTCTTTTGAGAAGCTTTCGAAAAAAGTTTTCGGAAGGTACTGAAGTGGCGACAATAAGCATAGTAAAATAATCAGCCCTATCGACAATTCCATGTGAATAAATCGTTCCCACGATTTAACATGCAAAACAAAAACAATTTGGGAAAAATTGTTTTTGTTTTGCTTTATAAATATTTGGGAATGTTTGTTCATATGAAATTCGCGATAGGGCCGAATATAAAGTGTACCAGCTAGCAATGAGATTCTATTTCGGTACACGTATTTGGTAATTAATTATCATAATTTTTTCTTTCATTTGACCCCCTTTTGAGTGAGAACTTATGAAGTTTTTTGATTTGAGAAAAAAATTTAAAAAAAAAATATGTCAAGAAATTTTTGCAGTACTGATTTTTTCAGTACCTCAGGATGAGGACCTAAGTGTGCAACAAAACCAAATGTCAATGCCATAATTGAAAAAAGCGTAAATAACGAACTCAATTTTTTGCAAATTTACACCTCTTTATATTAAGGGTATTCATCAAACCTTATAAATGCATTGTAAACCGTATAAACTTATAATTGTGTAAACCTTATAAATGAACTGTCAAAATTTGTATGGAAACTCGTTTACACATTTCTGATAAATTTATCCAGCGATTTCACTGAATAAACTNGTTCATGTAACAGAGTGCGTAAACTTATAAGATTATCTGCTTGATAAAGTTATCGGTTTAGATGAATACCACTATTATTTCACTATGTTTATAAGCTATGTGAAACAATTTTCGAAATTGCTGTTTCAAATCTGCCTAAATTACCAAAGGCTCTTACAGTGTCAGTATCATATCAATTAATATCATTTTGTAGATGGTTGTTTGGCACTAAACGTTTCTACTAATAAATTTGGAATCTATTAGTGCAAATAACTCATACCTTTTGCATAATATTAAAATAATGTATAAATATTCTAATAGTGCATAAATAGTGAAATTTCCAAATTTAGAATAGTTACTAGAACAAAGAGTTGGGAAGCATACAAAATAATTTTAAAATGTACAGTGTACATAGCACACAAAAGTCCATGCATCGAAACAAAATACAAAAAATCTTTGCGCATTTTCATTTGACCACTCATTATTTCGTATTTATCCATCGATTTTCTTCATCAGTAACTTGATTTTTTTTTTGTAACAGAACAGACTTCAGTAAAAACGTAAAAATTTGGTACAGAACTTGTTATTTTTTAAATTATTCTTTTGTTTAAGTTTGATTTTTTCATTTTTTCATTAAAAAATAAAAAAACCTGGAATGATTAATTAATTTGTCAGAAACTATCAGTGCTATCGGAAAGGGATGTATATATGGAGAATTTCATTAGCTTTCATTTGCCGTATCTTATATTAAGATTTTTAAATTGGTTCGTGAGATATAGGTGATTAAAATGAACCAATTTTTGCTTTAAGCTCCATAGGAAAAAATTAACTCAATTTTCGGGATCACCGAGTAATTCTACATAGGAATTGGATAGTGGCATCCATAGAACATTTTTGCTGTAAACCAGTGTAATTGATACTAGTTGGAAAATTTTTTCCGTCGGATTTGTTCACTGTTAGTGCCTAACATTAACGAAAAATTTTACATGTAAATGCAACTACAATGTTAGCTAGCAAGAATAGATGATAGCGAGTTTGGTTGTACCTCATTCAGATCGTTCGTTTCGTTACTCGCTAACCGTTGGCGAATCGATGACGGCTTATATGTATTCAACAATTTTATTGAGCTTGAGGCCGTTTTTAATGATACAAAATTTTGTGGAAAAGTAATTAATTTATAAATAACAAAAACAAATAACTTAAGGACGAGCACACCTAAAAGTTAAATATTCTAAAAATATAATTATTCAGCCCTATTCTGCATTTCGACTCGAATCGAAATTTTCTCCGTTTGGCAACTTTGGTATTCTGCGTTCCGTTTCCTTTCGATCAATCTTCGAAATTTACGATTATACCTATTCTACATTTCGATCGTAGTTCCGTTTTTCTAAGTTGCAAATTTGTTGGCGGAGAGCGTTTCAATTGTTATTTTCGTGGGTTTAAATAATAATAATAAAATAAAAAAATTAAGTAAAATATACTGTGCATGATTGTAAAAGTCATCATAAATGAATTTTCTCGATTTCTGTGTTTTCGCGAGCGGTAATACGGGCAATACGAAAAATTGGCTCAAATAATGGCAACCAAAAGGGATATTGCGCGACGTTTTCAAAGTGGAAGTCCAGGCGTTTTTGTTTACATTATCTATAAATAAGACTGTGAAATGCACTGAATACAATTTATTCTTTTTATATAAAATTAATAGATGTATGCACATAGATACATACATACATAAAATGTGAAGTTACATAAAAAAGATGCTTTTATTATTGCACTGGTTTTTACTAACTTTTTAAAAAGAGGTGCGTATGTTGCCTCGAATTCGATTTGCTATAGAAAGATAAGCTTTGTTCTTCACTTCCTCCTGACGGCTTTCAAAATGGGATTCATTTGCGTTCAAATCTTCCACTCTGTAGTAAATGCAAATGTTGTGGAGTGCTCAAACAACGTTTATAATTTCACTGACTTTAAGCGATGAGTAATACAGTTCAAGATGAATTCCTTATGACTCTTCACTCATCTGAAAAAGATCAAACATGTCCCTAAATCTCCGCCTTTCAACTTACGCATCAGCAATCTGGGACTCATTCTTCTCTTCAAGCAATAACGCCGCGGCTATGGATTTCATTCTTATAATTATGTATCCACTTAATTTTTATTTTTAAATTACAGTGATTTAAAATATTTACAAACTTTAACTTCATATGCTGCTATTGTTTGTTGGCAAATATTTCTTTGTTTTGTTTCGATTTCACACATTCCTATGCTAACAGCTGATTTCGAAAGATGTTTTCTCTCTTCCTCTTCTTCTTTCGTTTCGATCGTAACGCAGAATACCTAAGTTCGATTCCAGCGGAGCGGAATGCGGGAACGTAATCGAAATGCAGAATAGGGCTGATTAACAAAAACCAACAACCACATGATCAAGTGTGAATTGCAGCGGAATAGCTGCGCTTGATTGTCGACACGTTGCAATGATGAAAATTGTTGCTAATGGGTTACGGAATGTTATGCATAAATGATTTACCAAATTGTCTGCGCAGGAGTGCAGAATGCGACCTTCGATAAGAGATGGTATAGGACCTAGCAAAGCTAATGAGATGGAGCGAGAACACCACAAAAAGGTCAAGGAGTTGAGGGTAAACGATGAACCAAAAGAACGACCGAGGACCGTGATGCAAAGCAGGCCAAGGAAATCCCCTAGTGTTGATACGAGCACCGACGGAAGGAAAAGGGGGCAGCGAACAAGGAAATGGCATTCTTTTTACTTGTTGTTTACTTGGGACGAAGCACCCGAAGTTGATAAGGAAGAGCTACCAGCCAAACAACTAAGCTCTATAAGCATTAGTATACGGTGCATCCAAGTAAACTTAAACCCAAAATACAAAAGCGCAGTGCCAGTGACAATTTTTAAAGTCACCTATTGCTGCTAATATTGACAGTTACTTTTTCTACTTAATTTTTGTTACTTTTTTATAATTTTTCTTTATAGCTTGGATTTTTTTTTTTAATTTTTATGATTTTAATGTAGTTAGGTTTCATTCCTAATAAATGTGTGTCGATTTCGCGAAAATCGAAGCTACAATGGATTCTGTGATAGTCCTGAATATATCTATTTCGTTTCGATACGTGTATTTTTGATTTTACAAAGCTTCTTATAAGGTCAATTTACCTTTCAGGGGCGTAAAACTGTAGGTCGCTCCATTTGTGTACCAACATCACAACGCACACCACTAAGTGGAAGAGAAGTTCGGCCAAATACATAGTAAAATTATTTTACTAAAATATGTAAGCGCCAAATATTTATTTATTTTATATTACTTAGAACATAACAAATGTTTTATTTACGATCGCTTTATTTTAAATGACAGTTTATCACTATTTATCAGCGTATTTGAGATTAAAGGAATTGAAATTCAGTATTACTATTAAAGTAAATGCATAGTATAGTTCATTAGCAAAACATTTATTGTGCGTAGTAACTTTAAGTTTCAGTCTCGTTATCTTTGCAGTTCTTCAAGCATTGCTTCCTGAAACCGCATACGCACTCGCAATTGCTGCATTGGATCCATCTTATTCAAGTAAGGCAAAAGTGACCGGAAGAAAAGTAGATTCTCATTCTCCTCAGAACAATTTGTGGACTCAGTAAGATTTTCTAGTTCTAGTGCTTCTCTTTTAGCTGGGCATTTGTAGTAATTATCCTTCAAGTGGGATACATCCGGTTTATTATCATATTCTTGAGGATAAGCTCTTTTGCCGCCAGTATAGGTTGGATCTGCGGGTTGAGGTCTTATCATTACTAAAGGCGGCACATCATCATCGACTTGATCTTTGCTTTCATCTAAGGCAAATGCGTCAGACACTCCTTTCCATACTACATCACTAAAATTCGGATCAAGATCCTCCTCCAGTTTGTACACCTTTCTTATGCTTGAGAAAATATTTTCTGTACTCGTAGATGGGGGTAAATTTTGAGGCTGTTCTGTTGGGAGGGCAGGTGAAAAATGCTCTGCCATAATTTTGGTATCATCCAACGAATTACTAGACTCCGAAGAGCGAATATCAACGGAATCTGGCTTAATATCGATAACATTCTCTTTTGGCGTGAGCGTCTCCAGTAGAAAGATTAAGCTATTGAAATGAGTCCATTTGGGTTTATTCTTTTCGGTGATGTAATAGGATTCACCAGAGCAGAATACTGGCACTTGCTTTACTTCTTTGCGGAATTGATCACGTAAACTGCGCCATCTAGTTTTGGCTGCTGTCTCTGCAAGAACGAAAATTTGTCAGAGTTATTTTTGGGTCCTTCAAGATTAGAATGGATTTCGTTTTTATGTTTACAAATCTGTGGACAGTTGACGAAAAAACTCAAGCCTATCTTTCAGGACATACGAAATTGCATATGTCGACAAATCGTATTTTTCTGTCAAAGAGAAAAGTATTGCATATCGAAAGAAATGTAAAATTATTTTATCGCTATTCACAACCGTTAAAAATGTCTCTGTTTGCAACAACTGCATGTTTTCATTTAAATAAAAACGATTGCTGTGACGGTAAAAACAGTTTTGCCGACATATGCTATTTTCTTTGTCCCTGAAAGATAGACTTACGTTGTTTTGTCAAATGTCCACAGAAATTGTTATTAAAAATTATTTAGTCTTTAAAGTTCAGAACCATAAAACGGTGAAAATATTGCAATCGAGTATTGCGGTAGTAGGCCGGGAAGATAGAATAACTAAAACTTAAATATAACGTGGTTTTGAATGTACAACTTTTTCCCATAGACTGGACTTGAAACAAATCTGGCAACACTGATGTACATACGTATGTACCAGTGATGCCAACTAGGGGATAATTCCCCAATTTTGGTGAATTTAAATTTTTCGGGGGAATCGGGGAATGGCTTTAAATTTTGGGGGGATTTAATATACTGACGATGTTTGTTAGAATATTCCTATTGAGAATAAAACTACATATTGTAATAATAATCTCACTGTTACGGATTTAAAACGCACCTCATGCAAACGTGTGATATTAAAGAAAATGCCACCGTGCATAGCCACATTCTTCACTTGGTGTTTATATTTGACACTATCATTTCTCACTTCGTTTGCGCAATGCCAAAGTTTTGAGCAGTCTAATAAATGCAGTATTGCCGGTAGCGATAGTAAAAGTCGGAGAAAATTCGGTTTAGCCGGAAGCCAATTTGTTAGCCGTTTCGCAAAATAAAATTTTATCGTTTTTAGCTGATTTTGCTATTTGCCTAATTTTCTTAGAATTCAAATATATGTTTTCATTTTTACAAATTGCATTAGAAATGGCTACTGACCTTGCACGGTATACGGATTGGACGGTTTGCAAAGCTGTGCCATAGGAAAATCGTTTTTACCATGCAATCCGTGCAATTAGTGCCCGTGTAAGGGCTATGCAACATTTCGAAAATACCCCTAGTGTATTGCTTTCAATTAGCTCCCGCGCATGAACTGCCACACGTAGGGGTGGTCTTTATTTTTTGTTTTGTATTTTATTAAAACAAACGAAAGCTCACTTCCCAAAGCTATGAACGATCAGCTGTTGAAATTGAACGTAAAATTGCCTATAGTTTTGAAAGAAAAATTGCTATAGTACTTCCCGCTTATATGCCTCCTGCTTATAAGCGTTCCCCGATACAAAAATATAATTTCATAAGTAAATTTCCTCCTCAGATGAATCCGAAGGCGAAGCCGAGGAAATAGTATTAGAAAGTTTGCCATTTACGAAAGCACAACTTCATGCAATTAACACCTTACAGAAAAACTTTGAGACAAACAATCAATTTCTGAAAGAACTTGATGCTGTGGAATTAATAAGTTATAGAGAAACCAAAAGTCAGTCAAAATTAACAAATTTTTTTAGGATAGATATTAATCAATGACATTTAATGTAGTTTGTGATTTAGCCGGGATAGCTATTTTTTGTTAATAATTCTAACTGATTTTTTGTTTCATCCCAGCAAACAATAAGGTTTGATATACATTTGGGAATGATTTGAAATCAAAGCCTTTCTCAAATGTCAAATGTTTGAAAATGATTTGATATTGATTTTCAAATTACACCTTTCTCAATAAAAAGGGGAGTTTGATCTCCATTTGAGAATATGGTTAACTCTCAAATCAATTTCAAAGGTTACTTATCAATTGTACTTTAAATGTGGAAATAAAATTTATTATATTTATTTTTTCTTCGCGATGTACATAATAAAAGAAACAATTAAGATAAAGTAATTTATAATAAATTCGTCTTGAAGAGCTGCAGCTTCTTCAATCCGCGAAAACATCAAATCCACTATTTGTGGGCTTACTCTTTGAAAATTTTTTTTATTCACGGTTTTTTTCAATTGATCTTAATTTTATTCTTACAATTTTTGATTTAACTGCACATTTTTATATCGTTTGCCACTTGCCATCTTTCTTCAAATCAACCTCAAATGAATTTCAAAAGTAAAATTTAAACCTCGTTTTCAATTTGAGAATCATTTGAGAAAAACATTTGATATCAAATTGAGAAATACATTTTTCTCAAACGTTTGAAACTGTGTGGGATAATAACCGAGTGATTTTTTTTTTTAAGTATATGTACATGAATGTACTTAATCACCAAAATAGCGCTATGTAAATAAGTATATTTACTGAAACTGTGTGGGATAATAACCGAGTGATTTTTTTTTTTTTTAAGTATATGTACATGAATGTACTTAATCACCAAAATAGCGCTATGTAAATAAGTATATTTACATGCATTAATAACACATTTCCAAATCTAAACAAGTAAGAAAGTCTAAGTTCGGGTGGAGCCGAACATTAAATACCCGGCGCAAGTATTAAATATATGTTTTTTCACCTTTCCGAAAGCTACCGCTAGATGGTAAGCCGGGGTGTATCAATTTTGAGTAAATGAGCGTCCTTAAATTTCGAAATATTGCAGTTTCAAGCATTTCTGAAATTTACCGTTATATGAAAAGCGACCGTAATTTTAGTCCGATTTCAATAATTTTCAACGTTTTGCTTTTATGTGGCAAGCACAATAAAAATACCGAGTTTGGTACAAATTGGTAGAACGGTTACCGATATACATATATGTGATCATAAGTGGGCGGTGCCACGCCCATTTTCCAAAATTTTACCATAAACGTATTTCTTGGTAAAGAATTGTTGCAAGCATCAATTTTGAATAAATTAGCTTCAATATTTACTGATTTATCGAAGATTTTGTATTTCTCTAAATTACCGTTATATGGGATGTGGGCGTGGTTATTGTCCGATTTTAAAAATTTTCGGCGATTTTTTATGCTGTACCAAGGCCAACAACTGTGCCAAGTTTGGAAGAAATTGGTGCAGCGGTTACCAAGATATACACATGTAACCATAAGTGGGCGTGGCTACGCCCATTTTCCAAAAATTTATAATATTCTTATTTTTCGTCTAAAAATTATTGTAAATATCAATTTTGAGTGAATAATCTTCAGTAGTTACTAAAATATCGCAGTTTTCGTATTTCCGAAAATTACCGTTATATGGGAAGTGGGCGTGGTTATTGTCCGATTTCGCCCATTTTCAATACCAACCTACCTTGGAAACCTACATACCAAATTTCGTTGAGATGTCTCAATTTTTGGTCGAGTTATCGTGTACACGGACGGACGGACAGACAGACATGGCTTAATCGATTTCTCTATTCATTCTGAGCTTTTATATATACATTTGTCTATGTCTATCTCGATTCGTTTTGGCTGTTACAAACAACCGTTATGTGAACGAAATTAATATACCCTTGTGCACAAGTGCCCTCGGGTATAAAAACTTGTTTAAATAATTTATAAAATGTGTATCACTGTATTGTTTGAATTCTCATACGCATATGCGTGTTTGGCCCCAGAGCGCTAATCTTTTTATAACCGTAGACGGGTATAAGCGGGTTTTTGAATATAAGGTTTCTACGGTTATAAGCGTCGAAAGTTGTGAATTTTTGACGACGCTTATAAGTCAAAAGTACCGTATGTGTGAGATATGTGTGAGAGATTTTTTCTCTATATGAATTAAAATTAACAAGATTGTTTAATGTCTCAAAAAAAATGTATTCATTTAATAAAGAATCCTCAGCTCTTTTCCGGGTTTCCGTGTTCATTTCTCAAAATATTGTTTCCGACTAAACATTAGCCATTGCAGGCCGAAAAGTGACGTTGCACAAAGGCTACTATATAAGAAGGCACAATTTTTCAGTATAAAGAAAATCCTATTTGTAATTGATCTCTCTTTTATACTTAAGTAATACAAACATGACTTGTGATGTAGTGTATAGCTACGTACAACTTTTAACCAAAAATAAGTTCGGGACTTTACTAGTCTTTTTACCTCTTTATTTAAATAAAACATGTTAATTTTTGTTGAAAAATTTAGCCGTTTTTAAGCGGTTCTTTTTTGACAATTTAGCCGGTCGGCCCAAAAAGATCTGGCCACACAGTAAGTATTTACCACTATCAGGTCTATTTATTACCAGCACAGAATAGACCTGTATATAGATAATTTTTCCAAAAACAAATTTAATTAAAACTGCAATCAGAATTAGGCTTGACACACATATATACTTTGGAGGCAATTTTACCTGCTAAACAACTATTTAAAATTAAACCTCTCTAGTACGACTTGTAGACAATTACAAAAATTCCATCAAGAAATATAAGATTCTAAGGAACGATCCATCTATGCTTGATATAAATACATACATACATCCATAAAGTGAACCAAATAAAAACTGGGACGCAATATTTTAGCAAGTTTCGGCTATTTTTCTTTAATTTATTCAATGTTTATTATTCTTTTATGAAAGTATTGTTGATTACTTAACTAACGCGATATAAATCCAAATTTCAGACTTTGTGCAAAAATTATGCAAAGTTTGACAAAAATTTCTAATTTCTTAATCAGCAACTGAAGAGAAAATTTTGGTACGCAGTTTTATAGTTCATTTAATTTTAGTATAAAAAAGTGCAAATTACCGTTGATTTTTGGCATTTTTTTTTTTTTGTTGACGATGTTCCGCATTTTTTTTCCATACAAAGAATGTTCAACAATTTTTCTTCACGAAATTTACTCAGAAGTACTAGTTTTATATATTATTTAAAAAGGCTGTCCTTATTATGTCATTATAATGAATGATATTTGTTTTTTTTTT